GTGCTTGAGGAGTGTCTTGAATCCAATCGTTTTAATGAAGAAGATGACAAGATTGAGACTCAAATTGAGATTCAAGATAATGGTGCCAAGGAACCTTTGCAATATGACCCATTTGAAGAAGAAGAAGTAAATGAAAGTGAAGTTGATAACATGCAAAGTGAATTTGATGAATTCTCTCCAATGGATGATACTCTCATTAGTGAAGGCTTTATAAGAGTGTGGGAACCGGGAGGAGTTGATGTTCTTGAAAATGGAAGCCCGAATTGGCCTATATTCATATCAAAGGATTCCAAATTCTTATTGGTGCATGAGAAAGATCCAAGACTCTCCTTATTTGCAAATGAAAAGGAAAGTCAAGAAGAGAAAAGAACTCGAGACCAAGGAAATGATCAAGCTCTTGAGCATTATCAAGACCCAATCTTTAGGATGAAGACCTCATTTGATTTATGGATCAAAAATGGATTTGAGGAAAAGATATTCTTGGAGTTTGATTTGGATGAGCTTAGTGTCTTAAACTTTCAAGTGGTGAAGATGAGCTTAAGTGAATTTATTGATTGCCACCACTTGAAGAAATACCTAGAAGAAAAGGTTGATAGAAAGATGGGAATTTTTCTCCTCCAATCCATTGATGGTTGAACACTTGAGAGCTTGAGTCGAGCTAGCGACGTTAAACTTAGCGCTTCATGAGAGGCACCTCATGTTATTTTTCACTTTATTGCATTTTATTTTATTTTTGCTTTATATTTTGAATTTTGATGTATTATGCTTTCACTTGTGCTTTCATGTGTATATTCTCTTGACTCTAGGAGTGACACTAAAGAGTATGTTCAATTCCAAGAAGGCTCCATGATGATTCTTTGGCATAAGAAGATTCATTAGGGGAGTCTCATCTACTTTCTCTACTTTGTTTAAATGTGTTTAGTGCTTTACTTAGTGTAAATAGTAGAGAATGTGTTCCTTGTGTTTATTGTGCCATCATTTCCCCCTTGTGCTTTATTTTCTTTCACATCGAGGACGATGTAGCCTTTAAGTGTGGGGGAGGGGATAATTTGGGTGTTCTCTAAAAAAATAAAATTGAACTTTTTGAAACCTTGCTTGGATGACTCATTGTGTTTTGTGTTGAATAAATTGCCTTTATATACTTGAATTTGTGATTACTCCGCTTTGTTGGTTTATGGTTTGCTTGGTGGAACTTGTTACAACGCAACCTGTGATTGATGAGTCAAGGTGTATCACATGATTGATATATTCTCTTGCCAATGGTCTTGTTAACCACTTAATAATTGAATAAATTCTTCATCTTGTGTGTTGTGCATTGCTAGTGAAGGCTTATGTGATATTTCGGTAATGATTGTTTTGCTAGAACTTGCCTCATTACTCTCCAAGTGAAATATAAGATTTGCATGTTTTGAAATGATTTATGCCTTTTTCGTTTAGTCCAAGCCTTTAAGCCTACATTTTAAACATATCTTTACCCCTAATTGTCCCCGTTGAGCCTTTTCTTTGTTTAATAAGTGCTAAGCACTTGTTCATTAATTGTGATTGTTTTTCCTTGTGTTAACCCTCATCATTTAACCTTCAACCCTTAGCCAAAATGTTTCCCTCCACCCTTGAGAGAATAGAGCATTTGTTCTTTTTCTTGGAAGTGATTCTTTTTCTTTTTTGGAGCTTGTTTTGTTAGCAACACTCTCTATAATGTTATCTAAGTGTGGTGGTCTTGATTTATTGAAAACGTTTTGTAATTTTGCATTTTCACTTTTTAGATAGATAAACAGGATTAATCAACTGTCAGAGATTACTGATTGATTCAGTTACGAAGTCAGTCAGTAATAATAAATCATGGTGAAGATGTAAGAGAAAGATAACAGCACAAATCCAACGACACAGAATATTTACCCAGTTCGATACAGTGTGTGTCTACGTCTGGGGAACGATCACATAGGCGTCCAATCCACTAAATCATAATCCAATGTACAAAGGTAGATATACAATAATCTTACCCAAGTGCCCCACACATGGTACATACCCAGGTTTAGTGGATTGTTGAAGATGGAGAGCCATGCATACAGAAGTCCAATGAAATCCCTTCACTTGGAGAGCCCACTCTGATGCAGTCCACTTCAATGACGCTCTTTACAGTTGTTCCCACAACAGTGTGATCACAGTGTCTTTTCGTTTAAGCAGCAGTGTTTCTTCTCAAGTTCATCATCTTAATCACCATGGACATATTGTATTGAGAAGATGCATGACAATCAAAGATCTAGTCTCATATAGCAGATAGGGAGTGTTTCTTATTACTTTCGGCGTAACCCTAATTCTCTTCGAATAAGGGTACTTATAGATTCTTCAATAAACACTCTCCATAGATGACTTTGATTGTGGAAGATAGGACTATAAAAGAGGAATGTAATCTCAGAAGATTAGGTCCGTCCATACCTTTCTTGAAAATATACGCTAATCTTCTTTCCAAACTTGTCTGATAATACCGCGTACAGTCTTTTAGAAATCAGCTTCCTTAATCAGATCTTCAGTGTCAGTCCTTCTGTTATTGCTTCTGATTGATCAGTCGTCTGTAGAGCTGGACGGACATACTCTAAACCTATCTTAGTATGCCATAATAATATTGCCAATTATAATATGGGGTTTTTGAACATTTAAAAACACTAACACGTTTCGTTGTTGATTTGAAAAGAAAATGATGAGAAAAATGAAAAAAAAAAAGTCATGAAAATGTTGAAAAGAGATGAAGAAATGAAAAAGAAGAAGTTCAATAAAAGTTTGATAGTTTGATTTGAAAATTGTTTTCAACCTCCACTACTTTAGAGTGTTTTTTTGTGTTTAATTAGTTTTAGTTGCTCCTTAGTTCTTTGATGCCATATCTCTTCCAATCTCAATTGTGAATAAGTGTGAAGTTCTCTCTTTTGTTTGATTTCCTTACCCGTTCTTTGTCAACCATTCACCCTTAGCCCCATTACAAGCCTAATAAAAGTCCTACTTGATCTTAGCATGCAATCTTAGAGTTGAACTAGTGGGAGTATGAAGGGCAAGCCTATGGAATATTGTAATACCCACTAACTTAGAAATAAAAATATACCTATGTTATTAAAATAGGTCAACAAGTCAAAGGTTATTAAAATTGATATTGGATTAATTTACTAAAGTACCCCTCTTTACCCTTAAAGGTTAAGGAACCACTTTGGTCTTGGATAAACATTTCATTTGAAAGAAGATAAGGGGAGCTAACTAGAGAGAGATAGGGGAAGGAAAACCTTGGAGCTTTGATCTCCATCTTCTTCAAGCTTAGATCTCAAAGCTGTTGGAGTATTCTAGGTAAGTTTGACCTCTATATTTCACTCTTTGAGTTGGGTTTATCATTTGAGCCCTAAGATTAATGTTTGAAAATATTAGGATTTTGACAAGGAGTATTTGGGCGAGCTTAATAGCTAAAATTTGGATGTTTTAGGTAAGTGATTAACTCTTCTCTCCTTATTTTGCAAAACCGATCACTTATTATGGAATAATCTCCACTACTTTGAATACCCATTTTAAGGTTAGTATGAGTTAAAAATATTATAGACTATGATATTTTGTGGGTTTGAAACGCTAAGCTGCAGTCTGGACTGGAATTCTTATGTATTTTGGAGTTTGGACTAAAATTGTGTTTGGGTTTGGGTTTGTTGGAATTGTGTTTTCGAAATGAAGGTTAAGGAAAATTTCTGACTAAAGTTATCACCATGTGTAGTGATGGTAGAATGGTTTATGGTTGCTGTGTTGGTGGTGGTTGGTCCTGGGTTCGATTCTACATTGCTATATATGCTTTATGTTTGTTCTATATATGTAATATATGCTTATAAAATGAATTATTTATTTAAAGTGAGACTTGAACTCTTAACCTCATCCTTAAAGTTCTTTCCAACTAAGCCATTACAATCCCTTTGAAATTACTTTGGTTTAATAAACCATTCTATGATTTTTAAAGAGTTATGTACTAAGAAAATTATTATTTTGAGAATGGTTTATACTTTGCATCTTTCTTAGTTTGATAAACTTATTATCTATTTTGGAAATATGAACTTTGTTATGTGATTTTAAGCAAATGATTTTGCTACATCGGGCTATTTGATTATAAGAACTATTTTGATTGTTTGATCAAACTCATGGGGCAACCTACATTTTGTTGTTTGTTTTGTTTGGCTTGGAACGTTCCTAATTGCTCATTCCGAATCGTCGAGCTTGACTCATTCCGAATCGTCGTGTCTTTTGAATTATTTGTTGGAACGTTCCATCCGGCTCATTCTGAATCGTCGAGCCTGACTCATTCCAAATCGTCGAGTCTGACTCATTCCGAATCGTCGAGTCTTTCTAAACCATTATGCCGATAATGGCCTTTGCCACGGGTTATAATAGTGGCTGTACGTTGCCAATGAGTCATATGTTAAGAAATGATTGATGCTTTTGAAAGTATTGTATTATGAAATGATGTTGATGCCCATGTAGCTAAAGTTTTTCGTTTTGGGAATTTGTGTATAGTACGATGGAAGTATGTTATGATTTTGATATAATTTAAGGATTGAGTTTTGCATCTATTTATTACTCTCATGTTTTTTTTGTATTCTATTGGGGCTATTTGATCCGGGATGAGAGGAGTACCACTTACTGGGCATTAGCTCATTATTTGTATTTTCCTCATGTTTCAGAGTAGTTAAGGACATGTGAATAGCACGAGCACAAGTGGTGGGGTCTCGAAGGTGACTTCTGAAACTTGGAGAGTTAGTCCTAGTTTTGGAGCTTATCATGGATTTTTGTTTATTTAGACTTTCCCTTTGACCCTTTGTATTTTTGGTAGACCATTGTGCTTGGTTTTGGTGCTTGTGATGCATTTTGGACATACTACTCTTGATTGTAAATATCTAATAGTGGAGTTGATGAGTTTATGGGAAGAACAAGTCGATTATATTTTGTCATTTTGGGTTGTGGAATTATTGTATATTCAAGTGTTATTATGAAGTTTCTGAGAAGTATGTATGGTTAGGCTTCGTATTGTTATTATGAAATTCTTGCCACTTGTTGAAGAAGATGTCCATAAGTGGAAGCATGTGATGAATGGGAATAGCAGTAGCCCATGTCTGAACCCAGTAAAACTGATCAAGGTTTTGATTTGCTGGGTTTACTTGGAACTCATGCATGACAGACAGCAACTTTGGGACAATAAATCTTACCATCAATTTTTCCCAACTGCTTGGATCGAACACAGTTTTCCAAGGTGACAATATGTAGTGTGCAGACATATCACTTGGGTGCCAAGCACGAAGTACACTTTGCAATCTGCAACGTATAGTTTGATAGCATGTTTCCAGCTTCTGTCCCAACAAGGGCAGCCAAGGATGAATCCAAGAATGGATTGGAATTGTCTCTCGACGTGGATCCCACGAATCCACAGCAGCTGATAATTTTGGCAAAACAATGTTATCCAGAATGGTGTGAAGGACTACAGGAGGCAACAACTTCTCCCAAGAAGCCAAAAATCGAAGCATGGGTTCTGGATTCCTAGCCTGCCAAGTGTTGGTCATAGATATTCTTACAGCAGGAAAGACTACTTCTATAAACAGCTGAGAATAAGGAGATCTCATATCACTATCAGAGAAATCAAAAGAGTTGTCTTGCAATAGATTCTTCCATGAGGAAACAATTTCTAATCCATGTGTTGGATTTTGGAGTGGGTCCCATCCCTGAAATACTCTAATAAACAGAGGCAGAGAGTGCGAGCACGCTATAGATGACAGGTTATAGAGTTTATAATCATCAGCATAACGTTGTTGCAAGTTCATAAACGAGTTTACAAGTGAATCAAGAGTCAATGTACCTTCTTTACTTTCTTCATCTATCCGGTCCAATTCATTCATAATGGCTTCCATATTTTCAAGCTGCTTTTTCTGGTGAAATGCCTCAGCTTGGAGTTTCTCCTTTTCTTTCTGCAACGCAACCACTGTCTCCTTCTCTTTTTGTATGTCAAGCTCTGCTAAATCAACAATCAATCTGGCATTGTGCTGAAGTTCAGGCATAGGAATATCATTTTCCCTTGCTTTTTCTTCGGCATTTAAGTTCTCCAGGTTTGTCAGTACCCGAAGTTGTGGACCCCTCATATTTTCAAGCTGCTTTTTCTGGTGAAATGCCTCAGCTTGGAGTTTCTCCTTTTCTTTCTGCAACGCAACCACTGTCTCCTTCTCATTTCGCAAATCTCAGATCAATTTTTTGTATATCAACCAATCTGGCATTGTGCTGAAGTTCAGGCATAGGAATATCAAACACCTTTTGAACGACATGAAGACCCTGCTCTTGCTTCCTGGCCAGCAATTCTTCTACCGTTATGTAAAGCTTCTTTTTTGAAGCTTGCTTCAGCCAGGGCTTGTCTCTTTTGTGGCTTTCCAATGGCTGAGCAGGAAGAATAGGGCAGACTTTGCTTCAGAGGGTGGCACCTTAGTCTCTTTGTATTCATTGAAACCCATTCCCATGTTCTTAGGCCGCAACTTTGATTCAATAGGAGCTGTAATACCTTGTTCATTCTTGCCAAGGCCACCTCCTTTATATCCCATCTTTTCAAGCAGCTTCATCCCAATCCCCTTAGTATGCTTCTCAAAGGATCCAATGCCAAAAGATGATGCTCCAGCTCCCATAACAGGCCGCTTATCATCATCATCAATATGAAATTCCTTGTTGGGCATTACAGTGGAGACAAAGTTAACAGGCTTGGTAACGTCTGGCTTCTTAGAAACTGAGAAATCTTTCTTCCGCTGCTTTTTGCGCTTTCCCTCCTCATAATCGGAGTCACTACTATCACCAAAAATGCCATAGATAAGCGCCCGCTTCTCCTTGCGGTTACTACGGTAGTAAAACACACCCTCATCAAAATCATTCTCCATCACAAACGTAACCTTTCTTTCTATCTCCAGCTACGAGCTTAGGGCTTGGCTTGCGAGGGAGGACTCAGGGCTCGATTAAATTGGAAGACGGAAGAAGATTTCCTTCCGAACTTTAAAATAACCCTCCTAACTAATCTCCAGCAACGACATGCAAATCAAAGAATTGTTGAGAGCTTTGAAAATTGACTCATCTCACAACTCAGAAGCAGCTATATATTTTAATACAAAAAGAGGAAATAACAGAGCAAAATCGGAATAGGAATATGAATAATGAATATGAATTTGAATAGGAATAGGATTTAGAAGGGTGATGAGAAGACGATTGTGGACTTTATAACAATTGTTTTTGTTGAATATTAGGAAATCTTTATTGAATATAGGAAACTCCTCCTAAAATGGATTTAAGAAGGTTTATTCAATCATGATTTTTATAGACTTTTAAAGACTTTTATTAACTTTAAAAGTTTATATATATATATATATATATATATATATATATATATATATATACTAGTATTTATTTATGCGCAATGCACAAAAAAATAGGTGCCCAATATTAATACATTATTATATTAAAATTTTAAGTTTATTTAGATTTTAGATATTTAAATTATTCTAAAGAATAATAATAATGTAAATCATTTTTATAAATTTGATATTTATATTTTAGGTAATACTTAACATATAACTCAAATATATAATGTGTATATATTATTATTAATAAATAAGATAAGAAAATATATGGTGGATGCATGTGCATGGTAACAATAGTGAACAAGATAACGGAAGTTATAACGGTAGGGGTATGTTTGTCCAAAATATTTTCATGTACAACCTTTATAGCATAATGTACAAAAAAACTTAACGGAAAAATGGACATAAATGAAGGGTATAACTTTCATTCACACTTATTATGTTTTTAGATTAGATATATATATATATATATATATATATATATATATTAATTAATTAATTTATTTACCAAGTATTTTATACAAATATAATAAATATTATGTTTTGTTCAATACTTTCAGAGAATAACCTACGATACACATCTCACAACACATGAAACATGTAGGAGAAAAACTACCACTACCAAATATCAATATGTGTTTGTAAGATAAAGAATTCAGAGTACAACTAAGATCACAGTCATATATATACAGCAATGCAAATCTAAAGCTTTCTACACTATAATCTCATTGCACGATTTATCCCTCTACGCTAGGCAAATTATGCTGTGGAACCGTGTCCACCTTGCAAGGTAGACACGGTTCCACAGCATAACGATTGTCTATGCTACCACCTGTAACCCAATTGCAAATGACACACTACCAAAATAAATAAATAAATAACAAAAAGAAAACAAAAACAAAAAAACAAAAAAGAGGACATGTACTGAAGATGAAAATAATGATAATGCTACACTAAAGAGAATTAAGAAGAATTGGAGAAATTTAAATCAAAAGTAGTATTTATTTAGACTATCGCTTTTAGACTGAGTATTTAGACCAGCGTTATTACAAAGTTACAAACATTTAGTTTAGTGACATTTATAATCAATCTCTTATATATTATCTTGCATTTATATACTTTAAATTACCGATTTAAATAAACAAATTCAACATTATTTATCTATGCATGAACATCTCCTATATAATATTGCATTGATATACTTTGAACGAAATACTTATTTAAAAACAAATATTGGGCATTATCTCATTCGAGCAAAGCGCGTAAAAAACTAGTAATACGTATAAGGGTCAAATAGGGCATAAAACTACACACCAAAATGCAATTATGCCATCAAACTCAAAAAACATGCAATTGAGTTCCTAAACTAACCAATTTCATGTCATTAGTCCAATTTACAAATTTTCCAGGTTTCTAACATGTCATTCTAAATTTAAAATATTTTTTAAAAATAATTATTTAAAAAAAAAAGCTCTGCCAGAAACGAAGAAACTTCTTTGTCTCTGGCAGAGACATTTTTTTTTCTTTTTAATTAAATTTTAAATAATTATTTTAAATTCGGGTGATAGGTTAGAAACCTAAAAACTTGCAAATTGGACTAATTGCATGAAATTAGTTAGTTTAGCAACTCATTTGCATGTTTTTTTTAAGTTCAATGACATAATTGCATTTTGGCGTGTAGTTCGATGTCTTATTTGACCCTTATTCCTTTATAATATAATATACTCTTTCTATTCTCTTGTTCTTTGGTTTCTCACATATTTTGCTTGCGCCTAATTGGCGGGTGGTTGTTATTCTCCAGCCGCCAGTGCTTCCAATCCCTCAATTTCAACATGGTATCAAAGTCTACTTTCCTAGGCTATTTTTCTTCCAATATTTCCGGCAGCACCTATTTTTTGGCGTAAACAGAAACCCGCGAGCCTTGGAACCTCCAATTGGTGAAAAATACACAATTTATATACTGAATGTTTACAATTTACATACTAAAAGTTCACAGTTTATATACTGAATGTTCACAATTTACATACTGAATGTTTACAATTCAAATTGTGAATATTTAGTATGTAATTTGTGAATATACAATATGTAAATTGTGAATTTTAAACCTGAATCCACATTGCAAGGTGAACACGTGTCCATGGTATACTATCCGGTGTAACATCACTGGAATTGCCCAATTTAATAAACAGAGACTAAATTAAGCCTAATTGTAGTACTCCATATAAATTTGGCAAATTAAACTCTAGATAAATGCTTATTTTTAATATATTAAATATTTATTTTTTGTGTGTTGAAGGTTTATTATTTAATATATAAAAAACGAACATTCAATATATTAAAAAGAGAAATTTGTAATTTATGTCTCTCACAAATATGTCAATTATCAATGTCACTCTTAAATTATTAGTGGTGTAAATGTTGCTCCTCAATTTTTAAAATGTAACATATATTGCCCCTCGCCTAATAGGAAGAAGGAGAAATATGATTGTCGGTGGAAGGAGAACAAATTAAAAAAGAAAAATAGATGAGACAATATATGCCAAGTTTTGAAAACTGAGGACAACATTTGCACTATTAATAATTCAGGGGTGACATTGATAATTGACATATTTGTGAGACATAAATTACAATTTTTCCTATTAAAACTAAATCTTTAATATTATAAGGTAGATCATGCTAAATTTTAATAGATGTTTAATATTATAAGGTAGATCATGGTAAATAGTACTCCGTATATTACAATCGTTATGCGTTGGACCCGTGTCCAGCATGCTTGCTGGACACGGGTAACAGTGCCGTTAGGCACTGTTATCTCCTTCTTGTTTTTTTTTTTTTTTTTTTTTTTTTTTTTTTTTTTTTTAATTTCAGACCGCTTCGTTATAGGAGTATATGTTCATAATTTTATTACTATATATTAATAACTGTACAATCATAACTCCATAACTGTACATTCATAACTCCATAATTGTACATTCATAACTCCATAACTGTACATTCATAACTCCATAACTGTACATTCATAACTCCATAACTGTACATTCATAACTCCATAACTGTACATTCATAATTTTCGAAGCTCTATGTTCATAATTTTATCACTATATGTTCATAATTGTAAGTTCATAATGTTAGAGCTCTTTGTTCATAATTCGATCAATAACTGTACATTCATAATTCCATAACTGTAGATTCATAATCTCATAACTGTAGATTCATAACTCTATAACTGTACATTCATAACTCCATAACTGTACATTCATAATCTTCGAAGCTCTATATTCACAATTTTAAAGCTCCATGGTCATAATTTTATCACTATATATGTTCATAATTGTAAGTTCATAATGTTAGAGCTCTGTGTTCATAATTTCATAATTGCATATCTGTACATTCATAACGGCATAACTGTACATTCATAATCAAAAAAAAAAAAAAAAAATAACGCCGTTAACAGCAAAACGCGCGCGAATTTTTTTTTTTAACTAAAGGACGCGTTTTTTTTGAAAAACGACGTCGTTTTGGGCTCGTGTCCACAATTCATTGTGGACACGGGTCCAGGGCATAATTTGCCGTATAATGATTGTATAAATTTTTTGGACACCAACGTCTAGACTTGCTCAACGCCAACGTCTAGGCTTGCTCAAGGTTTGGAGTTTGGACAATTGGACCAGCGATGCAAACAACATCAATTATATTGTGGACCGCGGCCCTACTACGACATCATTTCTTTATGTAAAAAAACGTCAGTGGTTACAATTTAACGGAGCGCGTATTTTTTTATGTTTATATTAAATAAACTCAAAATATATATTAAAGTTCAAATTCATAAAATAAAAAGAAATAAATCAAATAATTAAAGTGACCATTTTTCTTTATTATCTTATTTCTTTTATCAAGATTTTAATAATGAATGGCATCAAGTATACATTTTAATTTTAAAAAAAAAATTCTCCAAATTTGAGATATATGCTTTGGTTTTATTAGTTATATATGTTGATTAATTAATTAGTGATTTATTGTGTGTTTTAATTATTTATTTACATTTTTAAAATGTACATTTACTAGTTTAAATGATTAGTTCTGAAATTGACAAAAATTAATATTGATTATTTAATTCATCTTGATTTTTGTCTTTATCTCTCAAATTTTGAAATATTCAGTTAACCAGTAAAATGAATATAAGTTAATTATGAAAAAATTTGGTGACAAAATAATTGACAAAACTTTTTATTTGATTTTAAGTGAAAATCTATATTTAAATAAATGCTGTTGTTGTTGTTATTATTATATTTTGTGTTATGTGAAAAAAAATTCTAAAGTAATGATCGACACCTGTGTCGATCGTACTCATATAATTATGTATTTCATACTTTATTACACATAGTATAATTAAAAATTATTATCAATAATAATCACAATAATGTATTGTATATATAATAATATGGTGCAATTAATTGTAATGTCGACTAACATTGTAAATTTTCTCTACTACATCGGCCACCCCAACTCAAGTTTTCTGGCTCCGT